CAGAGATGTTGCTTAGCAAGACTCCTATAAACCAACTCTTGAACTGATCCTCCTTGAAGCAGCTTCTCAAGCTCTTGCTTACTCACAACCATCTTTACTCTCACAACACTAACACTCTTCTCCTTGGTGTTGTTGTCACCACTATCTCTTAATCTCTCTTCTTCTTCTTTTTCCACTTCTGGATTTGCAAACCTGACTTTCTTCTTCGTCTTGATCATCTTCTTGCAATGGATTGTGGTGGTCTCCTTGGGCATGAGATAGTAGAGACGACCACATAGAAGCTTTGATTGTGGAGGAAGATGAGAATTGTTGGAGAGAGAATCAAAGAGAGAGTAGTGATTAGAGAATTGGGTTAGGATGTTATGAACCTTCATGGGTCCTCTGTATTCAACTATTTTTCCATCATTTCTCATTATCTTTATCACTTTCTTCTCCATTACTAAACAATTTCCCATCCTTTTTTTGTAGAAGAAAAAGTAGTTTTTTTCTTATTTTAGTTTCTGATTTCTCTTGTAAATGTGTGTGTGGAAAAATTTTTTGGTCTGTTGGAGTTTTGGAGATTTGTAGTTTGTATATTTATAGAGTTTGAGGTTATTTAAATGCCCTTGCCTTTTCAAAGTATTACGAGGAATGCCATTATCTCATGTAGGCTTTAATTCATCTTTATCTCATTTTTTAATATATCGTGGTGGGGTGTGGTCGGGTGGTGCTCTCGTAATTATACATTTTTTTAAAAAAAATTGGATCTCCTAATCTCGAATTTTCTTTTTTCACATAATAAAAATAGAAAAGAACTTCGATATTTTCGCAGAAAGATCCCGGGATATTTAAAGGTTTAATTGTGGTTAATGTGATCAAAGTATAAGGTTCAAAGCTTTGATGGTAAATTCAATTCCAATGGTAAGAAAATTTATCTAACTTCCCACTCATTTCTTTTGTTTAAAAGAACTAAACGTTTGGCTAAATGTGTCTGAATGTCCCGAAATGATGAGTATCTTCCAAGTACATGTCGTGCATCACCGTCACCTCCAATGTTAGTTTTTGTGAATTATTGTTTGTGTTTTTGGAAGCACACTAATCGTAACATTTTAGATTTATTGCCTATGAATC